AGAAGATTTTGGCCGAGGAATTCGGCGGCTAGGGCATTCGATTCGACGCAGAGGAGTTCAACCAAGAAGGGTTCGCGACAGATCGAACCAGGCAGCGACGTCGGCAGATTCTGGACGGATCGACTTCTCGTTGCAAGAAGAAGCTTTTGAGGAGGGGCAGGGAAGTTGCGATCGCGATCAGTTCGGTGCAGAAGGCTGCTGGGCAAACGAACTAGGAAAAAGGAGAATTCGGCGCGTCAGCGGAGCGGGAAAGAAAGGTTCGCGGGAAGCGCAGAAAGGATTGTAGGCGATTTTGCGGAGCTTCAATGCGCGAAAGGAAGGTTCGACGAGATTGGAAGTCCGATTCGTTGGTTGTACTTTCCCTTCCTGGCCTGTACGGAAGATCAATTTCCTTTGCTAGAGGCGGGAATCACACGATTTTGCTTTGTTTGGCTGGAGGCTCCTCTGATTTCCTTAGGAGGCGGTTGCGGAAAACGAAATTTAGCGTGGAGATATTCCGGAGATATTTTAGGACTCAGGAAAGGCAAGGAAAATGAAGAATTTGTTGCTGCACTCGGAAAAGGAAAGTTGGAGGTTGCCCGATTGGAATGAAATCGATATTCGCCCTTTTGTGATATTCCAGAACGCGGAATTGCAGGCGCTGGTTTCAGAATTGCAGAAGTTTTTCTGGAAGGTAGAGCTTTCTGGAAGGGAAAAGAAGCTTTTCTGGAAAGCGGATGCACAACTTTTCTGAAAGGAAAGCATAAGCGGTGCTTTTCTGGAAGGAAAGCGGAGGCGAGGCTTTTCTGAGAAGGAAAACAGAACTTTCTGGAAGAACAAAAAAAGAAGCTTTTCTGGAAAGCGAAAACGAAGCTTTTCTGAGAAGGAAAACAAAGTTTTTCTTGGAAGTTAAGGAAAAGGAATTCTGGAAAAGTTTAATTAAGGAAAATTTAATTAAGGGAAAGTCCTTTTTCTTGGAAATTTAATTAAGTGAAACTTAATTAAGGAATTTTAATTAAAAGAATATTTCAATCTTTTTTTCGGAAAGATTCTGTTGTTCTTCTGGGAAATATAATTAAGGGAATCTTAATTAAAGGATTATTTAAAAGATTTGTGGCATCTTTTCTCAACCCACTTCGGTGTAAGAAACTCCATGATGTATTTTCTCTTAGGGACTGAATATTCACCAAGGTGGAGATTTGTCAGACATATGCATTTCTCCTAAGGGCCTGAATATTCGCCAAGGTGGAGATTTGACAAAGGTTGAGGAATTAGGCATATGTATTTAAAAGATTTGTGGCATCTTTTCCCAACCCACTTCGGTGTAAGAAAATCCATGATGTATTTTTTTCTAAGGGGCAAAATATTAGCTAAGGTGGAAATTTATCAGACATATTTATTTCTCCTAAGGGGTTGGATATTCGCCAAGGTGTCGATTCCAAGTTTTTCTTCGCCCTAATTCATGAAAAGATATATTTCCCTTTTTAAAAGATAGTAATAGTGGAATTTATGTATGATCAAAGATTAAGTGTTAAGTTCGTAAATATGAAAGTTTAGTTGTCTTATATGTAAATAGATAAGAATTGTGTGGTATATATGTAACGTAATGGCTTGCCTGTTTCTGCAGTTATATCAGGATGTCCCTTCTTTAAAGACTGGATTGCCATTTCATTGAACTTCCTGCAATAATCAATTTCGTTATTAAGAAAATAGGAAGTTATGAATAGCGGTAAATAAGTTCTTTAGAAAAACTCGTACTAAGAGTGTAGAATCATGAAGCTATTAAAGAACATGTGCATGAAGGTTTACTGATGTAATTAACAATATTTTATATGAAACACTGTCCTCCAGTTCAAAACTTCGACACAATTAACTTGTAGCAACCAATTCTTTGGTTTTTAAATAATAAAAATTAGAGAAAATTTTGGAATTTATATCTTTAGCTTCTTCTGGACTGAATTATCTTTTCTAATTTCTAAATGTTATATTTTGATGATGAGCCTTAAACGTCTCAGTTTGGTTAGCTATAAATCTATACAAGGCCTCAAGGACTGATAGGCTAATTTTAGAATATTAAGATTAAAGATTAAGATAACATTCTTCAGTATGTGGATAATGATGAGATGATAGAAGAGACAACGGGAGACGGCTAATAGCAACAAGCGAGTTGATGGTTTCACGCCATATAGTCAAGTTGCATCATCTTATTTATATTGGCCACTATATAATTGATGCGTGCTAGAAAATTTGCGGTGGTAAAGTAACAAATTATCGTCTTAGCATTGTACGAAAGCTCAGCACACACACAGATGAAATAGAAAAATACGGTGATGACTCCAAAAGTTTTTACGTGGAAAACCCATAAGGGAAAAACCACGGGGTTTGACCCAGTTGCGGAAATTCACTATTGATTGATGATTACAGAAATCCTGTCCCACAGACGGAAAATAGTAACTATATTTTTTAGGGTATAACGTCGATTGATGGCGTCTGGTTGGTGGTGATCGATGATGGTAGGCGGTGGTCGACGACGGTCGACGGTGGTCATCTGAGGTCAGTGGCGGTCGGCGGCGATCGATGGCAGTTGACGGTGGTCGATGACGGAGGTCGGCAGTAGTCGATGACGGAGGTCGGTGGTGGTCGACGACGATTGGTGGGGGTGCTGAGCTGCAGGTTCTCCCCCAGAATTATAGTGTTCTGGGTACAATTAATGCAGGAATATAAACCATTTTGATCGGACGGTCCGAAGAGCTTCCCTCGATCATATGATGTTGTTGACCTCACTTTTGGGTGAGAGTTTTGGGTCTTTCCTTTAGTGACTAGGATATAGCCTTAGAACTTTCCTAATGACTATCTTAGCATCTTAGAAATGGTACCCACCTTCTTCTTAGAGATTTCAACCAAATCTCTGTTCTCTATGTTGGTTTTATATATGATCAATAATCTTTAATACAAATATTAGAGATTACATAAGAGAACCCTGAAGAGAATTTCTATAAGACCTTTGGACCACAGGAAAGCCTTTGCACTGCTCTACACATTTTTTTGGACTTCAATATATTGCATCATCATTCATAATCGTCATGATCATCATAAACATTGCATTTTCATATCACAATGTTGCAATCATTACACTCATGGGGCTGACCAAAATTATTTGAACCTAGTTTTCCCTAAAGTATCCCACTTGAATCTTTCAATCCTTCAAAATTTTTCAAAAAAAAACTGTCATTGAATCCCAAAATCCACTTCAAACCATTTGATGTTATCATTTAGACCATTGGAAACCCAAAACTTCACTGAGTCACCCAAACTCCCCAAAAATCATCCCAGAGCGTTCCTCTCGTCAAACTGAGAAAATTGACTGTAAACATGCCATACTTCCGAGCTATCTTTGGACTCCTCGCAGCCTAAATAATCAACACTTGAAAATTGCTCCGGGTCCCGCAAAATCCTCCACACTGGTCAAAATTGCTCCCGGACACTTCCGTTTAACTCCAAATTTCATTTTATATTGCTTCGAGCCTTTGATTTGACTTTTTGACCGAAGTCCCAAAATTTTCCCGAAATGACCCAAATGCCCCTCCCGGGGCAAAATTTCCCAAATTTCCAAAAATTTCTGAAAATTCCCAATAATTCACAGAATCTTCCGACACCTCACAATTTTACGAAATTGAACTTCTTTTTTTATTTCGTTCGATTACGAGTCAGAATTTTGACGACGAAGTCGCTCGAACGACCTCGGATTTCAAAACGGACTGAATCGTTGCATCCAGAACGTCGAAAATAGTAGGAATCGATATAAAATTTGCTATAGTTTGATGCGCAACAAAAACGGCTCGAAATCGACACAAGTTTGAATAAGAAAATTACATTTTTTGCCACCCAAATCTTAATCTAACTCCCCCAAATTAAAAAAACTCACGCACGCCTCCCCCTCTTTCTTACGCGCGACTCCTCCCTAGCAGAAACCTGCGACCTTTCTTCCCTCCCATGGCCGAATCTCCTCCATACTTCTCCCCTCCCGATGCTCACCTGCTGCAGTCGCCTTCCTCTCTCCTTCCTTGCGTGAGAAGCAAGGGGATGACCCCCTCCATGCTTCCTTCTTATCCATGGCAGCAAAGTGGGTTTTGTTTTTTATTTTTTTTTTGTGACCTTGTGGCTTTCTTGAATCTTTCTCCCCATCTCTTCTCATCATAACCTAGAAAACTAGGTTCAAAGATAAGATTTTTCTATGCCTAGGGCATGATTCGGTTTTGGGCGGATTTTTCCTTCCTTTTTCCTCTTGGTTTTGGCTATAAAAGAAGCCCTAAAATCCACCTCTAAGGGGGCTGGCCAAAAGATTTTAAGAAGGGGAGGTGCTGCCGGATTTGCATTCGAATCGACTCGTTCGCCTTGAATCATTGCCGGTTTGCCTCTTGTTTTTGATGGAAATTTTTTCTCTTGTTCATACTTAGAAAATGCTAGAATGTGTGATAGTTTCATATGGGGCTTAAGAATATCTCTATCTTGCTTTGAAAATTGCATATGAAAGTTGCATATGATACTTAAGAATATCTCTACTTTGCTTTGAAAATTTCATGTGATAGTTTCATGCGGTGCTTAAGAGTCCCTCAACTTTTCTTTGAAAATTTCATATGGTGGTTTCATGTGGCACTTGGATATGCAAAGAATGGAGATTCCATGCGAGGTGTTGGATTTTCACTTCTTCCCCTTTCCTTGTGTTGTGAGATATTTACTTCCTGGCATAGAAATGAGACGAAAAAGAACACAAGCAAACACAGATCGTTTACGTGGTTCGATCCAACTGGATCTACGTCCACGGAAGGGAATTAATCAAATAGTTCACTATGGCAAAAAAAATGGAGAATACATAGCTTATACATAGAAATGAGCCCTCATCTTCCTTCTATGACCTCTCTCTCAAGCGACACCTTAATACAAGGCCTCAAGATGCTCTCCTCCTCTCTAACTCTCTAGCTATTCTCTCCTTCTTTGTGGTAGCTTAAAATCCCTTCCCTTTTCTCTCCTAAGTCTCACACCTTTAAGATCTCTTCCCTTTCTCTCCTAAGCCTCACACCCTTAAGATCTCTTCCCTTGCTCTCCTAGACCTCACACCCTCTCTATTTATAGAAGCAAGAGAGTGGTTGGTGGGAGGTAGGTGAGCAGTAGGTGAACGGTGGGTGAGATGTGGTAGGTAAGCGGTACCACATTACAAAAGTGCCCTTTTACCTTAGTTCATTAATTGAGGGTCAAAATAACAATTCTCCACCTTGACCCTCGATTGAGAAGCTTCGAAGTAAAGATTCCCTCCACCTGGCCCCTTGCTTGAGTCTGCTAAGTCCAAACAATACATGGACTTAGCAATCACGGTTCTTCCGATAAGAGAGTACAACCCCTTTTTCCTAACTCCTTGTATGACGACACGAGGGTTTTTGGTTACTCTGATGCAGTCATTCTCTGCCTTGAATGAGCATCCTCTTGACTCTAGCGTACCTAAAGAAATCAGATTTCTTTTTAGCTCTGGTACGTACCTGACATTTTTCAGTACTCGTTCAACTCCATCAAACATCCTTATCCTGATTGATCTACTTCCAACAACCCTGTGAGCTTTATTGTTTCTCAATAAAGCAGACCCATCATTTTCTTATTGCAGTGTCTCGAATCAGTCTTTGTGAGGACACATGTGGAAAGAACACCCTGAGTCGAGGATCCACTTCTTACTGGATTCAGATTCTGTAATCACCAGGGCCTTAGTAGAATCATAGTCATCAGAGGCTACACTTGCTTCTCCTGATTCTTCTGGCTCTTCTTGGTACTATTCTTCCTGTCTGGGCAGTTCCTTGTCCTTGTGACAATGATAGCACTTGAAAGATCCCCTTGATGACTGATTCCCGCCATCCTTGCTTGACCTTGATCTGTACTGACCATTTCTTGAATCTTTCCTGCCTGATTTTCCTCTGACAATAAGACTGTCTCCGCTGACTTCCTTGTCCCTATCATGCTTCCTCTGAAGTTCTTTGGCTCTAATCAGAGATTGAACCTCCTCC